AATTGCAGTAAAGAAACCACTACTTCGGCCAATTAACAAAAAGAAGCGACGTCGATGGGCCTCTACTCAGGGCATGCAATATTGTAGCCCCATTTCATTAACTCCGGAATCATTCACAAATATCGAGGTGGTCGGAAACTTTCCACCGGCAGTGTAGATCACGTAGGAGCAATTATCCTCCTTCACAACAATCAATGTCACTGGTGCTATTTGAGAGGGGGACGCTGCCCGCCAATTGATCCATTGCTGTAATTGATGGAGACATTCGGTGTACGATTGTTACCAAAAATGCTGTAACGTTCTTTAAATGTGCTGGTAGCGATTAAGTTTATTGTCTGGGATGTGTCGAAAATCAGGGTCGCCAAGTGCATTCAACGCGTCACCAATAACGAAATGTCCAGGTGTCAATAAAGATAGGTCAGTGGGATCGTCGGATAAAGGATATAGAAGTCGGGAGTTCAAAAATACCTCTACTTGTGTTAACAGTGTATACAATTCTTCGTACCTGAGTTTAGTATCAGCCATGACTCGTTTTAAATGAAATTTCGTGGCCTTTACTACTCTTTCCCATAGTCAACCAAAATGAGCAGCGCGAGGCGGAATTAAGTGCCATTCAATTTGATCATCACTTAAGCGGACAGTCTCATGTGAATACAAAATAAATTTTCCAATAATTTTTATTAACTTTTCATGTTTTAGTTGCGCCCACAGTAAACATGTGTTTAAACACTGGCGTAGGTAATTGTAGCTCTCAAGGTTGACTAAACAAAAAAAATCAGAGATTTTTATTTGGTAGGTTTCCTGTTATCGCCCGTAACAAAATAATTAATTTACGTTGCAAATTCGTAAAATGGTGAAAGCTTGAATTAAAAATTGCAAAATTTCGTCATTTTTTCTGCAAAGTTTTTAATAAAATTATATCATATGCTCATTACAAAAATATAATTTTGGTACGGGCGAGAGCTACTAGTATGTGGAACAATGTGTAATAATTTCCGAGCAATCTAACGTATAGTTTTTGAGAGTTTATCTACGCCAGTTAAGAAAGTAACATTTCGAGAGAAACGCATTTATAGTCTGCAAGATCATACTAATTAATCCCAGCTCCATACAAAATTCCTTCCTAAGTGTTGGTACCCAGATGCCACAAACGCTAGAATTTCGACTTTTAACAACAGCAGATGTCTCTTGATTAAGGCTATACAAAAAATGTCTCAAATATATATACTTTCAAAAAATGCACTAAAAAAAAATTGATTTTAAAATTTAGTTACACGTTCATTGTGGTGACTGTCCCATAAAAGTGTGCCTAATTCTAGAAGTTCATTGCGTACACTGACAAAATTTGCTCCATTGTCGAAGTATATACAGGGTGCGCCGTTAGAATCCGGACAGAATTGAATTTGAATTTCCCACCATATTAGAATTCAGAGGTTGGTGCTAATTGACGCTGAAGTTAGTTGAATACGTCAATAAGACTTCTATAACCTCAAAATGACAGACCTCGTCAAGCCAAGCGCGGAATATAATAGAAGAGCGGCGATTATAGAAAGCCTTTGCGCCGGGAGAACGCCGGTCGAAATTATAAAATTCTTTGGGTACCCGAGATCGACGGTATACGACGTTGCGAAGAGATACGCAGTCTCAGAGGGGTTCGAGAAGGGTTCTACTTCTCCGGCGAGAAAAGTTCAGGTTAGGGAAAAATCAACAAGGACGCCAGAAATCATTCAAAGGGTCCAAGACATGATTTTGGAAGATCCAGGGACTTCACTTCGAAAATTGGCCTCCGTCTTGGGGGTGAGTGAAACGATTGTCCGTCGAATCGCTCAAGAGGATCTTAGATATGTCTCCTACGTTCTCAAAGTCCGTCAGATGCTCTCCGAGGCCGCCAAGCTTAAAAGACTTGCCCGTTGTAATTTGCTTCTGTGTTCATTAAAACACGAAGCTGCTGGCCACATTAGGTTTTTTTCTGATGAAAAAATTTTCACCGTGGATGCCAAAGTGAACAGGAGGAACGACCGTTGGCTTGTTCCAAATTCAAAATTTCCAGCCAGTGTTCACGTTTTGAGCGTCGTCTCAAGTGAGGGCGATGTCATGCCGCCGCACTTCTTCAAAAAAGGCGAAACAATCACAAAGGAGGTTTATTTTGAGGTCCTGAGGACAGTAGTAAAGCCGTGGATGGAGACTATGGCTTCTGGAAGGCCGTATTTATTCCAACAAGATGGCGCACCTGCTCACACGAGTCATCTTGTTCAAAATTGGCTCTCTAACAATGTCGACATGTTTTGGTCGAAGGATTTCTGGCCTCCTAACAGCCCCGACCTAAACCCACTGGACTACTACGTGTGGGGCGTAATCGAGAGACACACTAACAAGTGCAGGCACCCTAACGTCAACTCCCTGCGAGCTGCTATCGAGTCATAATTCACGACCATGAAACGCGAACAATTGAAGTCAGCGTGCTCGCGTTGTAGAGCAAGAATCGAGCAGGTTATAGAGGCGCAGGGTGGTTATACAGAATAAAAGTTCTCAACAAGGAGCTTTTAAATGAGATATAACAGCATTTTTTGTATTTTTGTATATTGGCTTAAATAAACAACTTTTTACACAAGACTTCTTTTGTCTGGATTCTAACGGCGCACCCTGTACTGTGACATAGTCCTCGGCGCGAAACAAATCTTCGTAAAGTATTTAACCCCTTGACATACAATGACGAGTCTGACTCGTTACAAGTTCTTGATGCCAAGTTTCACAATTATGAGGCTACTCACTCATCGTCAAGTCTTGTATATTAAAACCAACACATTTTTACATTGACGAGGTATTCATAAAACAAATCTATTCCTTTTCGTGGTCATTCCACGAACAAATTTAAATAATATTGAATAGTATACGTTTGAAAAATTATTTGGAATCAAATGGTATATCAAGGGGTTAAGAATGCATCGGTACTTAAATCTATAGCTTAAATCTTACGATAAATCTATAGCTAGCCTGAAGTGAATTGCGTTTGCAACGAAACAGATAAAAATAAATATATTATAAAAATTTTTATGTATATAAATTATAAAAATAATAGGCCTTTAATGTGAGCCTTGTGCGAATGGTTTCTTTTATGAATACCGAGCCTGCATAATCCACGCTGCAGACACAAAGTTGGGGTGATTCGTACGATAGGTAAATTCCCCACTCTTGAGTCACAGGTTAGTTCTAAAGCATCGAACGCAATTTCGTACTATGTTCTTTACAATATTTTCAGCTGAAAGGGGCCAGTAACGTCTGCCTAATGACGATAGAGCGGCTTTACAGCCTGCGTGTAGTAATCTTAAATGTTCAAGCGAGACGAGAAGTTTCGTGAGATAATGCTTCGATGGTAATATGACGGTATGCCTTCGATTAAACGAAATCTGGGCTTCTTTCAATCTCCCGCCCACCTTGATTAATCCACTTTCGTCTATAAATGGATTCAAGGAATGCAGTGCACTGGATTTTGACAGAGATTGTCAAAAAACAATCCGATTGTGCAGTTCGAAGAAGAATTTCGGTACATTTCAATTCTTCTGATGAAAGATAATCTGTGTGTACAATTGTACGATTTTCTGGCGTATTCACTAATTTGATGCGATTATGAATACATCTTACGTTTTTTACAAAACCTAAACAATATGTGATCGTTCGTAAGTCGCGTGAATGATGAAAATCGTTCTCCTTTTAATATCTGGTATTTCAGTTGCACGTGGTTCTATTGATGGCTAGATAGACGAATCCGTTTCTAGCCATGACGGTTCGTTTCACCAGAGGGTTGCAGAAAGAAGCGACAAAGGGTTGACTTCGCGCGATATGACGTCTGCAGGATTTTCCTTTGATTGCACATACATCCAAATTCCTCGAAACAGTCTTCCATTTACTGAGTGACGATTAGCCCCAAGTAAGCATGATTATTGAATCACACCAGTAGTACTCGTTACAATTTAATCGTAACGCTATCCTCACCTTCTTTGCGAGTCGTGCATGCAGCAATGCTCCACACAGTTCCAATCTTGGGAGAGTGATTATTTTAATGGAGCTACGCGTGATTTTGCACGTAATAAATTTGTGGTCTATTGTCAGTTTTTTAAGGACAAAACCCCTGTAATTCAATTTTCTCAACTTCAGCAGATAGTATACGTCTAAGAATAATGATGTTATTTATTGCTTCAAATTCCTTGCGAAATGGAGATGCTGAGGCAATGATTCGACCCAGGAAAGTTGTAGCTGCCATAGTTCTTGCAATAGTATTTTTGCTCGAGTTGTAGCTAGCCCAATTACTTTTAGGGGATCGAAAATTTGAGAAACGTCCGATAAAATTGTTCGCTTTGTGACACAATATCAAAATGGTTTTTCCACTAAGAATCGCAGTATGGCCGTCTGCGATTTCCGGAGAAATCCGAGCGTTTTTAAATCTTTGCCGACTGCAATATGTACGTTGGGTTGTAATCCATCCGATGAACCCAAAATACGCGACTCGTTCGTTGTCCATTTCCGGAGTTCAAAACCTGACGTCGCTAGAATGGACGAAACGTTATTTTTTAACTTAATCGCTTCTTTTAAACAGTCCGTGCCAGACAAAAGATCGTCTACGTAAAAGTCTTCCAAGATTACACGACTGACGGCAGGAGAATCTTCTACATGAATTTCTTAAATTCGTCGCAGTGTTCTAGTCGCCAGGAAAGGCGCGGATGTTGTCCCATAAATGGCATTATTTAATTCGTTTTAATTGGCAAGATTTTGCGGAAACGTAATAAAATTGAAAGTAGATCCTCTTGTACCACTGGTCCAGCCATCTGTACATTGTTCAAGGATAGCCCAGATGTAGTTTTCGCAGATCCATCAAAAACTACGCGTCATTTTGTGGTGCTGTTGTTCTCCTCGATAGCGGCATGATGCGGTAAATAGAATCTTAATTGTCCATTTTCACGATGCTCCTCGTTCAGTTCCATGATGTGTCCAAGTTGCTCATATTACCACATAAATTCAATACATTCTTCTTGAATATGTGGTTGTTTTCTCAGCCTTCGTTCCAATGCGAGTAGTCGGCGTTCCGCTTGTTGCCTTGAATGTCCTAATCCTTTGATTTCTTTTCTAAACGGAATTCCGACCACGTGTCGTCCGTTGTTGTCCTGAATCACAGTTGACACGAAATGTTTCTCGTAGTAATTGTTTTTATTGATGAGACGTGCTTCATCGATAAAAGGTTCGATTTCCCAGAAATCAGCTACTTGACTGTGTAACTGTTGGTTTGTTACATAGCACGTGGTCTGTGTTTGTGCTGTAAGATGTGCGCGATTCATATTTCCAATAACAATCCAACCGAGTTTTGTCTTCTGTACTGACGGATAATTAGGTCTTAAAGAGTGGCGTCTGATGCACAGTAGGTCCCAAAACATACGTGCTCCAATAATCATGTCGATTTCCCCGAGTTGATGGAAACGGGGGTCCGCCAGCATGATATTTCCAGGAATCGATAATGCAAATATGTCGATGAGAGTGTTCGAAATATTCTCGGTTATTTTTGGCAGTAATAAACATGAAATCGATTTGCTGAATCCGTTGAATCTTGAAGTGATGGTTACGCATGCCTGATACAGTAGATTACATACTACATTTACTATTTCTAAGTCTTGGCGTTTTAATCAACGCTTCAGTGATGAAATGAGACTGAGATCTTGAATCTAACAATACAATACATTTTTGTTTACGTTCTTTATAATCATTTACGTATACTACCGCAGTGAATAACATGGTGCAATTGTTATCCTTTGAATGTGAAATGTATGTTTGTGACGTGATTTGTTTCTTAGAAAGGTTCGCGTGAAAATGAAACATTAGTCGATCGTGACGAATTAGTTACGTACAACACTGTCTAAACGTAGGAGGAGGATATGATGCTTTTTTAAGCATTTCCTACATCCTCCACGCGTATACTCCATATGTTTGTGTCCTTGTTGGAGACAATTAAAACATGCACGCAATTCTTGAAATTTTGAAATATGATCGCTCTGAGACAATTTTAAAAACTAAGTACAATTATATAACGGGTGTTCAGTTCTACGAAGAATACATACTGTTCGTAACGTACGCTGCTACGTTCTTAAGGGGGTCTTCTACTGTAAAACGCGTTTTTTTAAGTTCTCTTTGGAATTTTTCTTTTTTTGTATGTATAAAGAAACTATGTAACTTCTTGCATCGACGTTTTTTGTATGTATGTTCATTACTCTTTCAGTAATATTTACAAATTTTTACAACGAGAAATAGTCAAAATTAGTGGCAGCACAGAGCCTCGTACGCAATCGAGTACCGAAAAAGTGTTTTTATGGCTTCCATGATTCCAACCGTTCTGTTTGTCTAAGTCAAAAAAATGAACAAGATTCTTAATTAGGATACATTTTTCTACAGCCGGTAGTAAAAGGACAGAAAAAATTGGTACTTAAAAAAATGACCGCTTTTTGAGGTTGAAATATTGGTTATTTTCATGTTTTTAATTTTAACAGGCTAAAAAAAAATAGAAAGAATAATGATTTTGACTGCATTCTAGAACAAACCATAGCGACACATGTACTGAAGGTACATGCCAAATTTGAACGAAATCGGTCAAGCAGATCTTGAAATATCATGGAAGTCAATTTAGAAAAGATAGTTTTGAGAAGACCGCATTTAAACAGAAGAATCAGACCGTTTAAATAGGTATAGCTCGACCGAAAAATACGTATACCTTCGTTAATTTTAGAAGGTCGGTGATATACTTTTTGCACACATATTTCTAAGACCATATCTTTTAGGAAAATGCAAAAAAAAAATCGAATTTTTTTGGCGATTTAGAGTAGAAGACCCCTTTATATCGAGTGTTTCGTGTTTCATGAAATACTGCAACTTTATTCGACGATACTACTTTAGCATTTGCAGTTTTATCAAGGTATTTACAATGTTTCTCTAAAAAGTCTGTCATCGCTCGCAATGTTTGATTGCTTGCACTCTCGCTCACGTATCGTTAGTGTCAAATTTCGTCGATAATAAATACACGATTAAACTACCCCAATACTCCATTGGTTCTCCTAACATACTGAGTGTGATTAAGCTACCTTTCATATCAACTAACAGACGTCTAAATCCAGAGAAAGATATTTTCGTTAATACTAGCATGTCCCATAACGTACGAATGTCCTTTAACGCTTTCCACGCAAGATCGTAATTTATTTCAGAAACTCCTAAAGATTGAATTATGCGAGCTGCGTCACTCTTTGATGAAGAATTTAAATAACGGGATTTCTCAATGTTGCCTAAAGCTTCATTGTCATGTATTAATGATTCAAGTATGTCCTTGAATTTCAACTACAAACGTCCCATCAAATGTATATAATTATATCGTTGGTAATTTTAGGCGACATAGAGGTTCTGTTCCCGAAGAAAACGTACTCGATTTCGGTATGTTCGTGTGCGCAGAATTTTGTAGGCGCATTTGCGCGATATAATCTCTAGCAGTGGCAACTATGTTACAATACGATGGTACAAATGATTCTTGTTCGTTCGCGTACCTTTCTTCGAGATCAGTTCCTTCTATGATATTTCCTATTAACGATCGTATCGCGTCAAATTTTTCATATAACTACGAAATTTTTCCCAAATGAATTTCAGGTGTCGTAATCGACATTTATCGATCGTATGATTCGAAAAATTTCTTAAAACGAGTCAAGGCGGACTTCACCTTTTTACGATCCGAAATCTGCGTTTTCAAGATTGAATCCATAGTTAATACTGTTAACACAATTCGAGAAATGCACGAAGGACTTACGGATCAGATGAATAGGTAAGAAGGTGATCAGTGAATGCTTCCCAGATCTGTTTTCTCGTTGTGGATTGTGCAACGACGTTCCAAGTCCTGTAGTTCACCAGAGCCTAGCGTCTCTCAAGTAAATCACCGTCGGTTACACGGAAGTCGAATGCATAGAATTTTTATTCAATTTATTGTCCACAATTGTTCACAAACACTAAATCTAACTCGAAGGACCATATAGACCGATTATTTTAAAAGTGGTGTAAGTACATTTTTAAAAAAAATGAAATATCACGTGATTTATGCTTAATTCAGCGCGAACTTTTTATTTATAACGAGTAATTAGGTTGGTGCAAAAATAATTGCGGTTTGCGCGACCAGAGGCTTCAGCAATTAATCTAAAATGAATTGTTTTGGAACTACATTCATATGGTATAACATTCTAAAGTGTGAAGTTGACTCTATCAATATATGTTTGTCACTTGTTTTTGGTTGTTGACATTTAGTCATATTTGGTTAGAAAAATAAAAATGGAAAAATTATAAATTCGAACGATATTACTATTGTTGTGCCATGAGTGGCACTTGCGATGGCTTAGTGGTAACTTGACCAAGGGTCATTGCCTGCTGCTCAACGAAAGGAATCTGCGGATCAACAATATGTGGTAATCGCAGCCGAATGCGCAACGTTCCCCGTTGAGATATAAGCTAATGACCGCGCATAGACGACCATGTGAAGACAGACCAAGGGAATTGACAATTAGAGTTACGAATAAACTACACCTATTGTCTATACGAGTGAAGTTCTTTTCTGCCGTCCGCTCGAAGTTCGGTGAATACTAATTTTTCGACCACTCCTGAATCCGCAACCGCCCACGCAATACGTTAAACCGCGAGGGACACAATATTATTTGGTGGCAGCGGTGGGATCAGTGTGATTCATCCGGACGAAGCTGGACAATTGCGGGGAGTCAGTCACAGGTCAACCCGAGAAAAATCTGTATATCTGTAATATTTTCTTAGTTTTTAAATTATCCACAATTTTATTCACCTATCTTAAGTTTATTAAAGGTCCGTAGCAACGGCCCGCGACTTCTGGGAGTTCTAGAAGCTGGGTCAAAAACCAGGCTTTGGGCTGTATCGGCGGCGAAGGCGGTCCTCCAGAAGGGGATAGGGGCTGGGAGCTTTCGGTCATGGGCCCAGACCTTCGGGGAGATAGGGTGTGTAACGCCAGACGACGCAAAGGCGAACACCCGCGGTCTCAAATCACTAGTGCGCCTCTGGGCCGTTGGCGGCCCGGCGGACGAGTGTGGTGGGGAGGGCGCGCCCGTCAGCGATGGCGAGGGGAATGATGTGGAGAACGAGAGCGAGTTACGACAGGAATTCTTCCTCCGCACTTTGTGCACCGACAAAACGGCCGCTTCTGTTGTTGCCGCTCAAGTATGTCCCATCTGCCTCTTCGCTGAGCTGGCTGGCGAGCCCGCGAAGACCGTCCGCGTGGAGCATCAAGAGGCGGACATCGTTGCAGACCGTGAGCATCTGCTCCGCCCCCTACCGGTGACGAACGCCAACGGGTGGTTGGCCGCCGTGGCACGTGCCCACAATAGGGAGATGCATGCCGCCAATGGTAACACGGCGGTAACGGGGGTCAACAAAACCAGCGCGTATATCGCGAGCCCACCTTCATCATGAGGCGTGAGCGTTTTTGGGATGCGCCAACCATAGCCGAGGCCGAAAGTCTAACCCATGCGGAAAAACAGGCTAACCAGCGGAACAACCAGCTACATTGCTGGCGATAACAGAAGGGGTGACCAATTCTTCACGAACGCGGGCACGATTCACCAGCATTACGGCTGGGAGGATTGTTTCAGTGCTGACTTAGATGAACTGGTCGAGCAGGCCGAGGCGCGAGACGCGGAGGTTGTCATACCCGCAGCGTCAGCCCAAGATGGCGCTCGTGCTAGGGAGCCAGGGTGTGGCACCTGCCCGCAGTACCCATCCGGCTCTCATCCACCTGAGTCCCCAACCCAGGGGAGAGGGCGAGCACGTATCCCTAGCAGTGCAACGTCAAACATTACCCCTCGATGCGGGGGTGAGTATACCGACAGTACCACATCGAGTGTTGAGGACGAAACACGCAGGGTGGTACTCGATACCTTACAGGGTGTGCCCGTGAGCAACATAACCGACAGCGATACCGCACTGCTCTATCACACCGTCAAGCAGGCAGTAAAAGAAGTCAGGGTTCCACGTCACCGCGCCCAAACCGCCCCCCTCACACTAGACGGGCTAACCCACCTTAGCAGCAACGAGCTTCGGGCTGCGCGTGCGCGGAGGAGGCAAGCGTTGGCGGAGACACGCTGGGTGGGAGTCGGGTCCGACTGTCAACATTCGCACGGTAAGATCGAGGCTACCCGGTAGGGGCTCAGAGTTTATCGAAGCAGCCACAAATCCTTCGACCCAGGCCACTGGGTTAGTGAACCCCTCTAGGGGCAACCAGGCTTACGGCTACCTGAGCAACACAACCCATTTGGCGGGGGCCATTCAGCGGTCATTGGCGGGAGAGCGCCACGATTGGAAGATCTTGGAATTCGGGTTGCCCTCTATGATGATCTTCGGCGCACCTCGACTGTGC